TAACCTGACTACACTTCTTAAAATAATATATTGCAAGTAGGAATGACATAAGTAGTGACATGTTTAAATACACCATTTGCATGTACGTCGTACAGCGTTAATGAGAGACAGAGACAAAGAGAAACAGACATACATGATTTCTGAACAACGTTATTTCTATGAGTTAATTTCGTTTCACTGGTAACTGCTAGGTTCCCTTACGTTTCAAGCAATTACGTTCTGCGTATCACATAGGAACTAAAGATACCCAAGGAAGATAATGGTGTACCTTTATCATGACTGCAGCAGCGGTGCGTATTGCTAAAACTTACACGTAGCACTCTTATTAATAACAAATAAATCAGCATATAATACAATAAATGAAAATACAATATTTTTAATCGAATTTACATACAAAATCTCCACAGTCAGTCAGTCATAAAATTATCCATCTGTGTTTCAGAACACGATTCACAAAATTGTAAACGCTGTTCTGGAACTAATGAGTCCACGCACTCCTTCATTCTAGCGATATTTTCAAAAAATTGAAATGTGCGCTGTATAATACCTCTTAGCGTCGGAAGACACACAAATCAAGATTATATTTTCTGAAACTATATCTATTCAACAAACATTGCACAGTGCAGAAACTGAATTGCAAATAAATATGAAGCTAGTATTTTTAACACTATTGTAAATATATTAACTTTGCGCTGTTAAAAATTACACGATCACAACATCCAAACTCGAAAACAAACAAAACTAGTTTGCACTAGATGCACAAAGCAGCTGCCTAATAGGAAAAGATCGCTAACCCAGGAAACTAAATAGCAACACGCCGTGTCGCTCCGTGCAGGAATGCCAGGAGAAACAAATGTCGCTTCTACATTACTTTGTTACCGTAAGACACCAATATGCGTCGTCTCATACACAAAATTTGCTTACATACAGAGACAACACAAAAGTTCGGATACGAGGACAATTGCCTACCACAATTTCCTGGCAATATGTCAACAACATTTTTAACGTAGAGCTGGATTTTGGAATGCTTATCGGCTTTAAATTTCCATCTGTACCAGAAAGAAGCAACATGTATTCGTAACACTTTCAAATGATTGAAGCGGTTAGTTCTGTAAAACGTGGAATGAAAGAAAAGAGGAATGCTGAACAGTTGTGTGGGCGGGCGCACAGTGAAGTCGGTGATCTGGGCTGTCCGGGTGACGGCGCGTCGAAGGCTGAGTTGCCGACGTTTCGACTACCCGTCACCCGGACAGCCCAGATCACCCACATGACTCGAGCCAGCGACTTCATTCGCACAGTGAAGTCGTGTCCTCGTGGCATTCTCGGAACGAGGGAGCGAGCGCGGCCAACGGAGAACGGGCGGCGGGGGCAGCAACACACGGGGACCTACCATGATATGTGGGGGGCCAGCGCTGCGTCGGCAGGGTCGAGCGCGTGCGTGGGGCGCGAGGGAGTACCGGTCTCGTCCAAAAGTCGCGCATCGCGTCCGCGCAAATCGAATTAGTACACTCTCATTTACACATAGTGGCGCTTCGAGGTCACGAGGTGGAAGGAGAGAAGGACAGTGCCATCATTGGGAGCTCCAATACCAAAAACATAAGTCGTAACTCGTCGAAGCTCCCAATTGGATGTCAGGGTCCCACTCTCCAACCATCTCGTGACCTTGAAGTACCACTATGTATTAAATCGGACTATAATGTAATAGTACTCTCGTACTAATTAGCGCATTGAGATTCGGCACAAGAGTGCTACGATTTACAGGCAACTAAACACTTCATTTACAATAAATAGACTGTAAAATGGTAATCAAACCGAAGTCAGTTGAATCGTAGTAAATAAATCATTCGAATTTATGCAGCTTCATGTAATAACGAAGCCCAATGATCGCTCATGGTTTGGAATGCCACAATCAAATGATGGCATATAATAATCCACGTCGAATGTGAAATAATCAACAAAGACCAACTACTAAAACATTAAAAATTTAAACAATCTCAATCTGCATACACAGATTCTTTATGACAATCTTTCCATTTTGTCGAATTATTGAAACATAAATTACTACATATACAAACACTTTCAGAAATATTTATAGAACTATCAGTTCCAACACGTCATCACTTAAAGAAACGAATTTCCATAAGCGATCAGAAGATGTCCCAAGAATTCATGAAGTTTATATTTATAAATTCATTGAATAAGAAACGAACACGCGAAAACGGATGGGCGAAATGGAATATATGGATTTCGTTTCTAGCCAGAAGGGCCTAACCGACATTGCCGTCTCCCTCCTTCTCTTCTCCCTCAGATCACCCCCACTCAACGGCCCTGCGGCAGCATTGGCGCGAGTGTATGTACGCACTGTCTCTACCTACATTTAGAGACAACGCGGCATCGTGTACATTTTCAATCTGTCCTTGCGTATATTGGATTACAAATATCAAAGTAGAGGCCATGGCAGACCCATTAGTCACGAGATACTACGAAATATGCTGAAGATTGTGAGCGCTTGAAATCGCCAAACGGAGAGAAACAATGGAAGAGACGGACGGTGCGCCTAGACGTTAGTAGAGACGTTCGTCGACACGACGCACATCTTGCCGTCACAGACACACACACGCACAAAGGCTTCTCGTGGGGGCGGTGGCGATGCCAGGTGAAGAAGCACGCCGGGGTGGCCGGCGTTTGGTCCCTGCGCCGCCGCAGAGGGGGGGTGACGG